CTTTTTCTTTCTTTTTTAAACACAAATATCTTTTTTCTTAAAAAATAAAATCCTACTTCCCCCATTTTTCCCAAATAGCCATGATTAACTTAAAAAACACGTGTATATTAGGCCAGACATGTAGCTTCAAAGTACTCCACTGTAGGGAACCTAAATATTAACATGTTGAAAGAAAAGCAGAATCTAGCATAACACAAGAAAATCCTTTATTATTTCAGGCTCTTCTTCTATAGGAACCAGCACTGTTACATTATTTCCATTTAGAAAATTCTGGTCTAATTTTGTATCCTTCTTCCTTCTGATGTAATCCAAACTGTGATATCGTCCAATGCCAGGTTGACAAGATCATCAAATCACAGAAGTCTATCAACAATTTCTTGATCACTTTTCATCACAATGCCAATTATTGTTCCTATACACTTGCCCATAAGTTCTAATGGCAGGAGCTGCCGCAGGTTCACATTGCATTACAATCCATGGTCATGCATGTAGTATGCTTCACTTTAACAGTGCAGTACTTCCTTCCAGATGTGGCAGCCATGCTTGGTCAGCACACAGCTGGTGAATGACACAGACCTTTGAATCCTCATCGCCTTTATCTTGCAGCAAGACTGACTGAGGCTCCCCACATACTTGACTGCAGCAAAACAAGCAAACCTTCCCAAGGTGGACAGTGCTTGACCAAATGGCAGTGCCCCCAAAAGGGCAAGGGCAGATCATACATGAACACGAAACTAGCAGTGTGAGCCTGGAGTCGCCTCTGCTGCTTTGACACGAGGTGGCGCTAGGAACCAAGGTTTCCATCAATTCTGAGGCAACCAGCGCTAAAGGCAATATGAGCTTGGTGAGAAAGGGTAGGGCAACTTCAGGGGAGGGGTCCATGTAAATAAATATCTGTGAACTCTCATTGCTTTATGAGTAATTGCTAATTCATTTCTATTCATTAAGATGAGCTTAATAAGTCATTCTTTAGGCAGTGGAGAAGTTAATTTTACATCTCCCAGAAAAGTCACACCACAGTTGGTCAACAAGTATTTGAGCTTCTGGAAATGAGACTACACACTAGATGCAGATATGAACTAATGTGAAATTATATATAATGAACTGCTATTTAAAACATATTATCAGAATATGCAAATTCAAGAAATTTAATTTATTTGCTGTTTCTTTTCTTGTCTTAAGTCTCAAGAGTTCAAGAGAAGTTAGAAATGATTCTACAAAGAGTATGTACCAAGTGTGTGGTTTTTCAAACTTCTAGGATCACACCTTATCAAATTAGACTAATATTTATAAACCCAACCATAATATTTTGCAGTAAAATAATCATCTATCTGGGAGACCTTTTTTAAAAAAAATATTTATTTTACATACCAACCACAGTTCCCTTTCCCTCCTCTTCTTACCCCCCAACCCACATTTTCTCTTTAGGAAGGAAGGGCACATAGTTGGAAATCATTTTAATGTAAATCTTGAAAAACTTGCCACATATGTTCTAGCTTAAAACAATCTATTAAATAACAATGTTTTGAAAGTAATGAAAAAAAAATTCAGACGATAGAGATAAGAAGAATCTTTTGTTTTGTTCTTAAGTAAAATGACAAGCAAAAGACTCATTGTTGACAAAATTAATTATTAACTGACAAAGAGAAAGCCTCGATGACAAGTGGTGCTGATAAACTGGACACCTGCAGGTAGAAGAACCATCCTCTCTTCTCACCTTGCAGAACACTCAACTTCAAATGCACCAAAGACATCAACATAAGACTCGAAACCCTGGATCTGCTAGTGGGAAATCGGGGAAAACACTTCCTGATGCAGGCACAGCTAAGGCCTCTCTAAAGAGGATGCTAATCATCAAGAAAATGGGACAAATTGTCAAATGAGACCAGATATTGTTTAAAAGATGTTATTTGGAGCTCATAGATGGAAACCATGGCCATTATGGCTGGGGGCATGGCAGCAAACAGGCAGGCATGGGGCTGGAGGAGTAGCTGAGTGGTGTGGGAAGTCCTTCTGTATATGTGCTGCTTTTATTGATTAATGAATAAAGAAGCTGTTTTGGGCCTATGCAGGACCAATAGAGATAGGAGGGGAAAAGTAAACTGAATACTAGGAAAAAAAGGCCGAGTCAGAGAGATACCATGTAGCCACCAAAGAGGAAAGACTCAAGCTGCCAGCTGGAACCTTGTCGGTAGGCCACAAGCCTTGTGGTAAAATATAAAATAATGGAAATGGGTTAATTCCAGATATAAGAGCGAGCTAGCAATATGCTTAAGTGATTGGCCAAGCAGTGACTTAAATAATACAGTTTTCTCTATGGTTATTTCAGGGGTCTGGGCCTCCGGGAACAAACAAGCGGCCTCCCACCACAGCTGAGAGCTTACATCATGACCCATGAGCACATAGCAGAAAAGAGAACTGTGTGGGTTTTTGAATCCTCAAAGCCTGGCCCTAGTGACACACCTCCTCCAACAAGGACACACTTCAAACCCTCTCCAAACAGCTGAATAAACTAAGGACAAACATTCAAATATATGAGCTATGGGGGTCATTCTCACTCACTACCAGAGGATCTCAGCACACCCAAAAATGACTATTCATAAACCAAAAAAAAGACAAACACTTCTGTGGATGAGAAAAAAGAATTCTTAATCATTGTTGGTAGGAGTTATAGCAGTCTGAATAATCAAAATATATTGTATCAGAAAAATATTTTAACAGAACACCACAGCAATGGCCAGGGAGGAGTGTTGCTTGCTCACTTGCTCTTGAGGGCTTGCTCAGTCTGCTTTCTTACCCACCCCAGGACTACCTGCCCTGGGGTAGCACCACCAAAAATGGGCATGGCCCTCCTGTATCAATCATATTTTTCCAGGAAGAGATTCATACAACAGGCACCTTCCACGAAGCCTTTTATCCTGAATTGGATCACAAGGTTATATGTGGTAGAAAGAATTAAGTCCTTATGTTGTTTTGACCTACACATGTGATCTATGATATGTGCACACACAGACACACAGACATGCACACATACAACATACATATACACATATACCACACACACCATATATATGCATATACATACACTGTAAGAACACACACATGCATACACACACACACACACCACATAAACATAAATAGATAAATGTTAATATGAAAGAAATAACAGCCTCTCAGAGACTGTGAGCAGCCCTGTGCTAATATTATGGGTCAGGCACTAACTTGGGCCCAAGTTCTGTCTCTAAGAGTTTCCATTCTATTCTGTAGAAGAGACAGAAAGAAAACAAACTTGCGCTGTTACACGGTAGCAAGTGACAAACAGAAGAATAAAGGAAAGTAAATTCTGGGGCGGCAGTGCTGCTTCAGAAAGAGGGTAGCGAGTTTCTAACTAGTAGAAAGTCATCCTAAGAGAAAGGTGAAGCCAGCGCAAAGGTCTAGAGGTGAGCAAGTTCTTGGTGTGTTCAAGGAAAACTGAGCAGTAGGAAGGTAGAGCAGACAGCCAACAACAGAGTGAGTGAGGAGCTAGAAGTGGGAGCCTATGACAGAAATAGGGCAGGGTGGGGTGAGTCAGGCCACATAGAGCCTTGAGACCCAGTGGAAGGAACCTGGGTTTCTTTACAAGTGAGACACAGAGGATTGCAAAATAGACATAAGGAATTTATTTAAACTATATTTACATATTAGATATGTGACTCAGTATTCAAGACTAAAAGAGCAAAGCTATCAGCATGGAAAGTTAGGAAGCTGGAGCACAGACCCAGGATGCTGGCTGGACCAGCAGTCTCCTTTGACAGAGTGAGAGGGGTCAGATTACAGATCTGTTTACAAGCCAGTGTCAGGGCTGCAGCAATGGCTCAGTGGGTAAAGCAGTTGCTATGCAAGCATGAGGACCTGTGCTCTGATCCACAGCATCCTCACAGATGCCTGCTGGGCATGGCTACAGGCTTGCAATCCCATGGCTCAGGAGGAGGAAACAGCTGGAGGACTAACTAAAGTAGCCAAATCCATAAGCTCTCAGGTCACACACATGCAGACAATGCGATTCCACATGCTCATGAACATACACACACCACACACCTACAGAAAAAAGGATGTTAAGAGGAATGAAATCCAGATTTGAGATTAAGAAGAGTCCAAAGTAAAAAAAAAAAAAGTGTTTAGGCCTGCTAGAAACTTCCTGAAATGAAGTCTGAGGTCTGAAAGGTTACAGGGAGGAGAGGAAGTGCAGAGATCCAAAGGACAAATCTGGAAAATTCAGCTTAGCATGAATTCTAATTGATCTTAATAATAAAAACCTGGAGTCAAATATTAGAGGATAAAAACTGAAAGATCAGCGAAGCAAAGCAGCAAGCCACTAGAGTTCTTACCTCTATGACTCTCAGACCAAAGAAAGGCAAGATCTTGTCTCTATGGATCCTCAGACTAAATCCCTGCTCCTGTCTCCTCATACCTTTTATTCCTGTCTCTGTCCAGCCATATCCCTTCCTGTTTCCACCTCCCTAGTGCAGGGATTAAAGGTGTGAGACTCCCAAGTACTGGGATAAAAGCTGTGAGTCATCACTGGCTCTCTCAGTTTCTCTTCTAGACTGGATCAATTTTCACGTAGACCACGGTAGCCTTGAACTCACAAAGATCAATCTCCCTCTGTCTCCTGAATACTGGGATAAAAGGTTTGTGCCACCACTACCTGACCTCTATGGCGAACTGGTGGTTAGCTTCATACTCTGATCTTCAGGCAAGCTTTATTTGTTAAATCACAAACAGAATATCACCATAAACAAGGACTTTTTGCTGAACTGGGACTTGGCAAAACTGGAATACACTGCAATAGTAGATAAATGAAGTAAGGCTGAGACATGAGTTCTGAACTCAGGAGGCGTGGCCTCTGCAGGCCTGAATGAAGCTCTCAGGCCTGACTCCTCCAGCCCAGGCATCTGAAGAGACTTCACATCAGGAAATGAGCTAGATAATGTTCAACCTTTGCTCCCAGGGTTCAGAGGAAGACCAGCTGTGCAGACTCTCTAATGCCTTACTTCCTGGAGGAGCCAGAGTCTCTTTCACTTTCAAACAACAGGTTTCCTAGCTGAGCAGCCTCATCGAGGGAAACACACATTAGTGGCCCCTTAGAAGAGCTGGGTGAGTAGTAGGACCAGCAGAGTCCACCAAATCATTTGTGTTTAATAAATTCTGGCCTGACTGCACTAAGATATACTTTGGCAGACATGGGGGAACCTGAAAGCCAGGACCCAGGGTCTAGCCCTTCTCGGAGAGTCTGCAGGCCAGCTCTGGGGTGAGGTTGCTTGATTCACCTGTGTGCTTCATGTGTCTGCTTCTGTCATAGCCTATCCTTCACCCTCCTCTCTCTGGTCTGACATGAACCTGCAGGATTAAGGGTTACCTTTTAAACGGAAAGCCTGGGGAGAAGAAATAGAGAAGACAAAAGCAGCATCTCGAGCCAGAAGGTATTACATAATCAGATTTATTAAGCTAAACAAGTTTATTAAGAAGTACAGTGGGGAGTTGGGGGTGGGGGGCAGAAAGCCAAGGTCAGCAGAGAACTTAGTCAGAAAATGTACAAAGAACATAGGACACCTCAAACACATTGATGACGACAGCCCAGGGGGAAGAGACAGATCCCCAGAAGCTACAACTTCAATTCCTCCAAGGCACTGGCTCCAGTCTCAGACAGGTCTCACCAAGTCCATTCCTGAACAAGGACACAGAAATAAAGTTACATTTTTTCCTTTTGTCGGGACCTCTGGGAAAGTCTTTGGGTGACTAAGCCACCACACTGTCCTTGTGGCTCTTTGGTTATCTCTGGGTAATTTATTCTTCCAGCTTAGTTGGTTTCGCATTGTTCCTCCTTGTGGTGCCCAGGGACAGGAGACTTTTAAATTTCTTCATAGAGCCTAGCCTGAACTCTGATTAAACTCTTGAGTCCCCCTCTGTGCTGAATCTCCCCTCCTCACCCACTGTCACAATAATGGCTGAAGGATTAGTCATTAGTGGGACACTAGAAAAGGAGGAGGATGAGGAGCACAGAGCAGTGAGTGCCCTGCACCCTCCATCCCTGCACCCTCCATCCCTGCACCCTCCATCC